ACTACTACTACTACTACCACCACTGACAGTACCGCCATCCAACAGTATCATCTAGACGCAGACGAATCCAACGAGGCCCCAATGCCGCGCTGTCAACTTCGACCCTCAACACGAAACGATGAGCGACGAGCGCGGCGAGCAGTGCGAGCCCTAGGCCCTAGGCTTCGCTGACATTGTTGAAAGTAGACCTCCTGTTCGACTCTGCGCAGTCATGAAGTCGTGTACGCTCCTGCCTAGCCTTCTCAGAACTGGGCTCGTCCTGAAAGGCGCAGAAGGCTTCCACATCTGAAATGGAGGCCGGGAATTATCGCACTGAAGCTGCAATCGAAAGCTCGAGGACTATGCCCAGCCCATCAGCGGAACCCTTGGCGAGACCCTCCGCAGCTTTGGAGCACTTTGTAGCACAAACTGCATTGACGAATTGAAACACATCGACACTTGACACACCTAGCCGCCGAGCTTTCGGCAGAAGCCATGTTCAGCCACGCAAACCTTCGACTCCCGTCTACCACTCAAAATGGTGCCACACTGCATTGCCAATCATTGCAGGTCGCCCAGCCGCCTCTTTCAATGGAAGCAACTGGCACTCCACCAAGCGAGTTGCATGCCGTCAGGATGCAGGATGAAGCAGGCGACAAGTTATTGTCGAGGTTGCAAGCGAGCTGCAAGGATGATGGGCCATGGACGAGCTTGTGACTGCCTCGCCAAGGTGGCACGGAGCAAGTCTGGGAAGATCTTCACGAGGCGAGGTGAAGGGCATGTCCGGCCAACTCCACACCTGGTTGATTTCCGCACTCTGTCATGTACAGCATGCAGAAGGCCGTCCTGTTCGAGATGTTTCCAGAGGATACGCCTGTCTCGGCCCCGGAGAGCAATGAAGATGGCAGCTGGAAACGACTGCAACGTCTTAACTTCCCAACGCTGCATACTGACATTTTTCGTTAATGTGTTTAGTTAACATATCGCTGGTAGTAACATCACGAACAGTTACAGAATCACGTGGTTCTTTTTTCGTCCACTGAGTTGAGCCATAAGTCTTTTCAAGCTTTGCGATGCTCTCTAAGAGTTCGAGGCCGTGGAAGAGGCACTGCTCCGCTTCGCGGGAACTCCACACCAGGCAAGGCTGAAACGCACTACAAATCAAGGACCAGTTCCAGTGGTCCTTGATCTAGCCGAGGCTGCCCGCGCATTGGAAGCGCTACTGGCACGCCCAGAGGCCAAAGCTATGGCAGAAGGCGCGAAGGGCAGAGATCAGCAGATTTGGCTTCTGAGACCAGGCGATGGTGCGGAGCTTAAATTTCTTTCGCACGGGACAGAACTGAAGGCGTCCGCCACGATCCGAAGGATCCGCACCAAAAATAATCCATAAACAGCGCGAGCAGAAGGCATCCCCACATGCGCCTCCAGACTCCAGATTTTGAGGTTCTAGTTCTGCTGCTGCAAGCAAAGTTCACTCCCTGACACATGAACACGGCAAGCCCGATGCGACACGCGCGCCGACCAACCCGAGAATAAGCGAGACATCTTTATGGAATTATGCACTCAAGCACAGACACAAAAGCCTGCCTGTCAGAGGCCAGGCACAAAGCTTGACTCAAACTGAGTCTTTTGGCTCATCCCGCAACATCAGCTTGTCAAACGGCTCCGAAACCACCGAAAGTCAATAGTGTGACTGTTTCGGTTCTGGCATGTTCTGGCCATGATGTCACTTGCCAGGGGAGGATGACCTGGACTACGACCGGGCATCCTTTGCTGACGAGGAGTCGACAGTTGTCAACAGCACGGCAAAGAGTGACAGCGTTTCCAAGGGCATGAATATATTCTGTACACATCCGATCTGTTTGTGTATGGTCTTCAAAGTATCTCACGCATTGCTGTCTGAATCCCCACAACTCTAGATGCTGGAAACGAAAGCAGCCTACCTCATGGAATGTGAATCGCATTGCATATCTCTTACAGGACGGACCCGTTGACTGGGAAGACGAGGAAGAGTGGGACGAAGATGCGGAGGCCAGCCTCAGCCTTGCGCCATTGAGTCGATGAGCTACTGTTGGCGACCTGTGGTTAAGGAATGTTAAGGCCGTTGTTCAAGGAACGGACTAGAGATGTTATGCCGGTTTGAGCTCCTTCTTGTTTGGCGGGGCGGGAGTCCTGTTCTGGAGTCTTGAGCCATCACTGTCAACATATGGCCGAGTCAGGCGCCCAGCCGATCCCAGCCGCTAAGCACCAAAGAAGCTTCCTTGCTGCCAGGACGAGTGGGAAGAGGAGGAAGAAGAGTGGGACGAATATGCAGAGGCCGGGAGTACCACTGGGACGAGTGGAATTGAGCTGACTACGTCCGTATGACTTTGCCAGGTCCTCGCAATTTGGTATCGGTATGTACTTCTGGTAGATTACTCTGAACTTGCTGAAGCATGAAATGTTGCTACCTACGTTATGCTGGCAGATATTGTGGCCCACTGTTACCTGAACATACGAGAACCCTCATGTTGCAAACTCTGTTACTTCGAAATTTATTGTGAATCACCTGTCCCGGCCCGGCCAGGAGGAGCAAGTCGTCCCCACAGCGGAGGCGCCCTACACCTTTGGAGGGGACCCCTTAAAGCCTGTACTACTGCCTGCGCCGTTGACCGGTTGCTGGTACGTGAAATAACCTATGGCAGACAGCTGCGAGCAGGCCAACTGCATGCTGAAAGCAAGGAGTGCTGTCAGTCGACTAGCCGTCGGTGGCCTGCAAGGTGCCGAAACCGGTGCGGCGATGGGGCAGCCAGGCCAGGATCCTTGAATTACGTGCAGCCTAGCGAATGCCAGCGTGATGTACGGGGTCAGCAATTTCATCTGTGATGCATCCCGCGATTCACCGGCATCGATGGCAATTATACCATATGCCTTATGCCAGCAGGAACGGAAGACGTAGACGTAGGCTCGGCCAGGTGTGGACAACCCTCCAGAACGGCATGCCACTAGCAACATGAAACGGCTGGAAGGAAACTGAAAACTGAAACGCAGGAAGGTGGTGATTGCGTCAGGCAACCAAGGTTAGAAGCGAGGACAGCAAAGTACAAGCATGAGACGAGTTGCAGTAAGTAGCAAAACACAGGGGAACGGTGGGTTGCAACAAGAAAGAGTGGAGAAGTAGGAAGAGAGCATGCAACGAGCAAGTTTCTTTCCCCAGCCAAAGCCGTTGAACTCGTGCTCCATACAGGGTCGACTGTCGCCAACATCGGGTCAATAATATTGTTGACAGCCACCTTCTTCACCCCTCTGATGCCAGAAATCCACAGGCTCGGCAGGAGAATGTGTTCGGGAGTCTCGATGGCGCGCCGAAATGGGCGGAGATGCCTGCGAGACCTGAGCAAGGCCACTTTTCGTTTCAGTTGCTTGCATGTCTCACACACTTGTTGATTGCATGGCTGACACACTCCTGCACAGACACAGATTGTGTCAATATGCGTGACAGTTGGTCAAGCGTGTATGTCGATGTGTGGGGTTTCGTTAAGGGAACTGAATGTGTAGAACCTGGGTGAGAAGAGCCTTACACAGCTTCTTGAAACCTCGACTTTGCAGTGCAGGTGGCAAGGAGCTGGTTCCGCTGCGCCCCAAGGAGGCCGTCGTCCAAAGCTACGGATTCAAACTAGTCATTTCCCACCGAAGTGCTTCGTCATGTTTACTGGCAAGCTGAAGCTTGAGTTGCCTCTTATCTTTCAAGCTTTGAGAGCAGGTCTTTACCTCCTCAGGAACCCTGGTATCTGCCCACCAGGAGCGCGGTACAGAGGACCTGCTGGAGTCGAAAGGCGCACCGGACAAGGGCTGACAAGGGCTTGGTCTGCGAAGGTCTTCACACGCGTCTCGGTCGCTGCAGGGCTCTCCTCTTTTCGAAGATGTGACGTCTCTGCAATGCTCTGCCAAGCTGACAGGATATATGGAGCGGAACAGTTCAGAAATGGAAGTTTTTCCTTACGGTATAGGATCGATTTTTATCTATGGGCTTCAATTGTCGTCCCCGACGGCACACAAGATAACCTGCCAGGGCGACGTGCGGAGCTCAAAAATCCAGCTGCTGCTCGCGCCTACGCTCCGGCAACCTGTGCGCAAAGTCGGACAGAGAGGTGCTAATCAGAAAACCTGTGGCTCCTAAAGAGAGAGGATGAACTGAGGATGATTTTGATGAAGATAGTGCTAGATGTGACGCTGCTGACGGTGGGGGTTGCCACGCGCTTGCAACGAGGTGTCCGAAGGTAGTTGATAGTGCTGGGTAGGTATACAACCTTCGCAAATTGGCTATGTGTTGTGGGCTTGGCTTCTTGGACTGTTCAGGCGTACTTCTTGCGACTCTTTCCTTGTACAGTTCGAGCTGTGAAGACTCCATACTCCAGAGAGCATCACGGGGAGCTCGAAAGTAATATGCAGACTTGGTCTGAGATGAAATTTCCAGGTGCTGTCAAGTCAATCAGTGCAGTATGAAGCAGGGTGCAAGACAGAGGGATCCTACCTTGGGGGTGTGCAGGCCCTTCTAAGAGAGATTCCAGGAACCCCTCACTGCTTTCTACGAGTTCCATTTCAATGCTTAGGTGACTTTTTGCACCCTTTCCGTCATCGCAAATGAGAGCTGGCAGTGTGTCAGCTGGAATCGAATCGAAAGCCTGAACAACCACATGATGATGACATGTAGAGTCTAGAGAAGACGCAGGTGCCGTGAGCTTCTCGCAGGCGCGCGGCCTGCGCTTGAGGAGACTCGGTGCAGAGACAGCCTTACAGGTTAGATGGAGGCAGATGAACAATCCAAGTGCAGCATACGACCCCTCAACAACAAAGGAGACTGGAGCGAAATTCGGCAGGTACAGTTAGCCCATAGGGCACATAGCATGACAGGCTGGTGAGCGCAGTACGTTTGTTTCTGCTTTCACCGCAATTCGACAGTTCTGGGTTTCGAACCTTCCCTAGACCCGGACAAGCTGACCTGAAACCTGCAGGAGAGCATCATCGACTATTTGGCCTCAATGATGGGGGAGTGCCTGCAGGAGTCGTTTGTCGGCAGAGTCAGGGGCAAGGTCAGACGAGGTGTGTAATCAGCATCAAACAGCTACCGTGCATGTTTGGCTACAAGTAGCAGTGCTTCAACACGGAGCGTGGAAGGAAGGCTCCTCAAAGGATCGCCTGGGTTTACACTCGGCATGAAAGGCACTGTTTCTCATTTAGCCTCTTCAATCATGTTGAGGGTGCTCATGGCAGGACGAAGTCGACGAGCTCCACGAAACAGTTGTGGAGATCTTGCAGGCACCTTCAGAAGTCAAAGCAAGCGGACACTCCGTAGCTGATTAGAAGGTTGAAGGGCGCCCGATTGCCTGCAGGGCCACGACATGCCCGCCAAGGACGCCGAGAACCTCTGGCAGAAGCTGAAGACATGAATCGTTTCTGAAAATGGTTGTTTGCTGAAGGGCTCAGAATCAATTTTCAGTACATCGTGTATAAGACGAATGGAGTATCATTCTATCGAGATAAAATCAAACAACGGATTTCCCTAATATATGGATATCTAACATACTTACTTCTTTTGATTATTAGCAGGAAGTTCGTAAGAGTTGTATTTATATAAAGAACCGTTTCAATATTTCGTGTGTGTGTATATATATATATACATATTTAGAAGCCATATGTACTTCCCTTCTGGCCTGTAAACCTTGCATACATATCTTCTTCACCGGAGGTACGTGGCTTTGTTTTCACTGCTCCCAATAAGGTCCTTACACAGGGGTGGACCACTCGGCCCGCGAGACCTGACACGCCTCCTAAGCCCCGAAGTGAAAGTGAGGTGAGGTGAGGTGAGGTGAGGTGAGGTGAGGTGAGGTGGGGTGAGGTGAGGTGAGGTGAGGTGAGGTGAGGTGAGGTGAGGTGAGGTGAGGTGAGGCGAGGAGCAGAGAAGAGAAGAGAAGGGAGGGAGGGAGAGAGAGAGAGAGAGAGACGGGGCTACCCTCCAGCCCTCGCCCTGGCGAAAGAAAGAGAGATATTTGTCGGTCTGCACTGCTTTCACACCCGGTCCACGAGCCCAACAACCACTGGGGGAGCCTGACCAGCTCCCTTGACCCTGTGGAAGAAGAGAGAGAGAGAGAGAGTCTCTCTGCCACAGACGCCACCACGGACACTCACACCAACCCCACCGGCTGGCCCCACTCCACCGACCCCGGCCGGAACCACTCCAGTCCACAGCAGCAGGGACGAGAGATCCAGTGGTACTCGCAAACACAGACATACCACCTGAGCCTGCCAGCGGGATACCACTCAATGCCACCCACGCTGCCGCCTGCCCTCCCGGTGGGACCGGGCCTCGCCAACATTGCTCTCCAACACCCGGCGGGCATATGGTTGGTTAGCTCTGCAAGATACGTGGAAGGACACACTGCACTGCCACGCTCGTCCCACATTGGCCCACAGATGGTGACAACCCAGCCAGAGCCAGCGACCCACCAATACATCGGGATGGGGACGGCCATTTACCTGCGGCCCCTCGGCAGGCTCTTCCGCAGGGAACCCATGGCCTGGCATGCGAGAGTTGCAGAAGCACCCGCGGCGATCAGCCAAGGAGCCCTTAGACACAGGGCAGGGGAACACCTGCTACTGCTGTGGTCAAGACGAGAGTGGCAATGGCACCCGTGGAGCAACGACCACCTGGCGCGTTTTGGAGGCTACTCTCTTGACCTGCCAAACCCGCCTACCCTTCCAGCCGCAGACCCGGCACAGGACACACAACCCAACGCCAGCAGATCCCCGACCCCCGCAGACAACACACACTCCATCGCACCAGCAGGCGCGCTTCAACCACCTTACCCACCACCACCCGCCACACAGCGGCAACAGCAGCGGGCACAGGCGGACCCAGGCGAGGAGAGCGAACAGTCCTGGCCCAGCACGGGGGACGGCCACACTGATCAAGTCGAGCTAATGCAAAGAAGCACACAGAACTACAGGGCACACAGCCCAGCAGAAGCCCGCCGAGCCATGGCAGAAGCACGGCGATGCATTCTGCGAGTACTTGACGTCGTGGCACCAGGCGAAGCTCAGGCCCATGCACAACAGGCACTGGTCGCCCTCCAACCGGAAACAGCCTCCCAACCAGCAAGCTCCAGCAGCCTGCACCACGCCGGGTGCACAGACCCGCCACCGCCCAATGCACACAACACGGCAGCACACCTACTGCACCTGATCGTAGACCTGGCCAAAGCGGTCGAAGCAACCGGGGCACACAACAGCGTGGAGGACCTCAGCGGTGACCTCAACGAAGTCGCCAGACTACTTAAGGAGGGCACGCGGCAGATGCACAGCCGCACCAGGGCCCGCAACTGGGGAGCAGTACACCGTGGAGAAGACTTCGCGGACCAAGCCGAGGCGGCCATGGAGGAGTGCTTACAGAACCTCCAGGGCCAACCAAACCTCCCGGAGAACCTCCTGGAGAACCTCGCCAACGTGGCCCTACTCTGCGAAGCCGCCTCGAACGCACACGAAGAGGCGTGGGGCACCCACCGTGAAGAAGAGGAGAACCTGAGAAGAGCGGCCGAGCACTGCTCTCCGAAGACAAAGAGAAGGCGACACCAGGCGGACGTTATCGCCCACGAAGGGGGACCGATTCACAACCGAGTACCCACCACGTGGCCGACCAGCAACCAGAGCGACCACTGAAAGCCCTGGGGAAGCTGCGCCGCTTGGCGCCTTTCCTCCATGGCCAAATGCACGAGTGGGCACAACAAGCCATTGGGGAACTCACCCAGTGGTCGACGCAGTTCTGGGGCACACCCGTCGTCTTGGTGGACGAGGGAACAGACGAGGAGGACCTCGCAGAGACACACAACCAAGGAGGAGGGCAACCAGCCGCAGAGCCACAGGCCCAGCCCGCACAACCTGTACTACCTGCACTACCTGAACCACCCTTGAAACCTGGGCCACTGGCACACCTCGCCTTTGTCCCGCCTGCTCTACCTGCTCTACCAGCGGAAGCTCCTCCCGTACTACCTCCTCAAGGACCTCACGACCGGGCACACAAACCTCGCGAACTACCTCAACCAGCTGAAGGGCGGCTACTACCGGGCGGACAGACAACAGGCAGTGCGAAGTCGCCACCAGGACAGCGAACCGGAGGACCACGACTTCCACCGGGACTACCTGGACCACCTGAACTACCTCTACCTGGACCTGCTGAACCAGAAGTACCACCAGGACTACACCCTCAAGGACCTCACGGCCGAGTACACGAACCACGGGAACTACCTGGACCACCTGAGCTACCTCTACCAAGACCTGCCGACCCAGAAGTACCACCAGCGCTACACCCTCAAGGACCTCACGGCCGAGGACACGAACCCCGAGAACTACCCCCCGCTGAACCGCGACTCCTACCAGGCGAACAGGCAACAAGCAGCTCGAGAACCACACAAAGACTTCGAGCCCGGGGACCACAACTACTACCGGGACAACCTGGACCACCTGAACTTCCTCAGCTACCTGGACCAGCCGAACCTGCGCAAGGACCACTGACAGGGCTCGCAGCAGAACGACGAGAACCACCTGAGCTACCTGGACCACCTGAACCGCCGGGGCACCCAGAACCACCTGTACCAGCTGGACTACCTGCACCGCCTCAACTACCAGAGCAACAGGACCAACCAGCTGTACCTCTACCCGCCGCACCGCCTGCCCTACCTGCACAACGGGGGCTACCGTGGCCCCTCGAGCTCATGCAAAGGCCCTCGCAAAGCCTGATACACTTGCTACAGGAAAAGCAACCCGCACAACCAGGCACTACGAGACCCGCGTGGACCGCGAACACCACACTACAAGGGGCACAAGGACTACGGGGGCTACCCGCCCAGCCAGCTCTACCAGAACAAGCTGCCGAAGCCGGAGACGACCCCCTACGAGGAGAACCAGCACCTACGCCGACGGAACCAGAAGCCTCCTGGGACGACGACAGTGACACAGTGCCGTGGCACGCGGCGACACCACAAGCAAGTCACCAACAGCCTGCAGAAGACCAACTGAGAGAGGCAAGGGGCACCAGCCCAGTGAGCCAAGGAAGCCAACAGAGCCACCGTAGACGTAGACTACTGAGCACGTTAGCTGACGACTACTAAGGGTTCGGAGCACCCCCAGTGATGTAGGCCTGAGTTCTTGTTCCTTGCAGTCTCCTCCGCAGCTTACCTTAGTTGTTGTGGTGGTGCCCTCGAACGCCAGTCGTTCTAGCTGACCAACCGCTCCTGGGGTACCCTAGAGCGAAGCGGGGCACAGCCTTTTCAGACCTCCGCAGTGCACCTTGCAAACCTCGGGGGACCAGCAGAAACCACTGTCAGCTAGTTTTCAGCTTGCTCGCTTGCGGCCCGGGCCTCAGAGTGTTTGCTTCTTTCTGCCAGCTGATACCAGCCCAACAGGGGCACACACTCCTAGTACAGCCGAGCCCATCCATTGAAAATAATGGATGGGGCAGCGCACTCGCGCGGGACGGGAAGGCTGCTCCCGTCCCATGCCCTAAGCAAAGCAAAGAGAGAGAGTCGACCATGCGTGGGGGGACATGCCACTGTTAGTTCTGTTGACCTTATCTGGCGCGGGCCGCAGACAGTTGTATTTCCCTAGTTGTACACATGTCATCCTCCTGTTCCGAGTGCTATGTAGGGGAGCATGGCCCACACCACAAGCCTACAGCGAACCGGGGGCAAGCATACCCTCGCAGTCGCATGTCCCAAACGCTGCTGCATCCTTTCTTTGTTAGCCTTGCTGTGTACCAAAGGGGGAGATGTGACGGTGTTCAACTACGGTGTCCACGAACTGCAACTGCACCGGGGGGACAGGATTTTTCTCATGTTTACCATCCATTCGACATGTTGTCCTGGCCCGTCCGAGTAGACCTTATCACAGTCCCTTCAAAGCCCCATAACACTTGGGGGGCCCATGTGGCCGAGGGACCTAACCAGTCCCTTATGCCCAGTGGAAGAAGAGTCGCAAGGGTGGCGGACTGCTCTTCCTTTGGCTGTGTGGAAGAAGAGAGAGACAGAGAGAGAGAGAGAGAGATATACGTTTCCGTAGACCGAGCATCCATGTCTTTCCGACCCCCCCACAAGGCCCCTAAACAGGGGCGCACCATTCGGCACGTGGTGCCTGATCAGCACCCTGTACCCCGGAGAACAGAACAGAACAGAGATATGTACATATTTGCAATGCTTGAAAGTGGGTGGATCTTCCAGGTGATTTTGCCAAGAGGCCGGTAAATGCGGCCGTGGTGGCTGTCAACCCGCCATTTATCTCCCAGATCTCTAAGCAGGATCTATGCCACCTAGTTGACAGTCGACAGCCTTGGAGCCTTGCCATAGCCCCTGTGGCAAGTTGATGGGCGAATTCATTTGCGACGCCACGCTCGCTGCGTCGCTGCCATCTCGGTCCAAGCGGGATGAGAGCTGCAGAACCTTTCGACTCCGACGCTCAGATGTGAGAATAAGCTGTTTTGAGGCTGAGGATCGATTTCGAAAGAAGGTCCTCGGCATCGCAGCACCGTCTCGTTTCGAGACGGCTGGGCTGCAGGGTTTACATGTCGTAGGTGGGGGAAGGGATGCGCAGAATCAAGAAATTGTTGCGGAGACAGCCAAGACATTTAGCAGTACTTGATACTTGCCGGATCAATGAAGTGAAGGACTGACTTGCAGCTCGTAAAGTTGAAGAGCCCGCCCTGACGTAGCTGTTGTCAAATTGACTCAAAACCGACGCTGACATCGAAAGTACTCTCCTGAAACACTAAGGACGGCTGAGCAGCCGGCTTCGTCAAAGACGCTTGGGCTGCCTTACATGTAAGCTCCAAACAAGCTTTTGCTTGAAGCTAGACAGGTTTTGCCCCGGTTACGTCGGCTGCACATTTGGCAGTAGGACCCTCTGGCCATGCCACCAGCCAGGCTTACCGTTGGAGAGGGCACTGAGACAATCACGTGCGCAATTTCTCCAACTCATCGACTCGATCCCTCCGCTTCTCACGCCCTACAAGACTTGAGTCATAGACGTTTCAACGGACGCCCTCATGCCCTTCAGCCATCCAAACCTCAGACCACCCGTCCAAATCCTGCATCATGGCCGCCAGATGGGCATGAAATACGTCGCAGCGTATCTCATGGCAGCAGCGGCCTCAGCAACTGCATGGACCCACATTTCATAATTCTACATCGTAAGACGGGAGACACAAGTAAAGCCCCCAAAGTCCGAAAAGCCCTTTCGGCCGCCTTTGGAGTTGCTTTGTAGCTAAACTCCTTGGGTTCGCCGCCGCTAGTTTAATCAGGCGGATGTGGCACGTGCTTAGCACCCGCTGGATTCATCAGTCCTGGGCTATCGTATCGGGCAGAAAAGAATGCTCTCGAAGCCGGCAAGTGCTAGTGCAGATGCAAGGAGGGGTTCCGTTGATATTAGCTGAGGCTTTGAACCATCATTACTGCCTCCGCTTCTGCTATCATTTCCGCATTTCTTCCGTTGTTAGTCAGCGCTCTCCAGAACCCGAGGCCCTCGCGGGCAAGGACAGCCCTTCCGCCGACGACATCAAGAAAATCCTCGAGTCCGTGGAGTCCGAATACGTCCCACCCGCAGAGTTTTGTCGCACATGCAAGCATCCGAAAAGGTCTGCCCTGTTGATGTGCGTTGGCTGTTGCTCCCGAGGATGAGAGCATTGCCAGCAAGCTGGTCTCTGAGCCTTTCGGCAGCAGCTCAGGGTGGGTGCAGGCCCAGCAGCTCAAGTCAGGGTTCATGAGCCGAGCGACGTCGTGTTGTGTGGTTCACGTCATCACAGCGCCGCGACTGCAAGATGCGAGTGGATAGTGCGACAGCCCAGGCTCGAAGGCAAGACGGTGCACGAGGCCTCTTGTGCGGGAGTTGGGTGTACTCAGGGCATCCTTCTGTTCCGGTCTTGTGCGCAATTGAACGTCCGCTTTGACTTCCGATCGTTTGCCGAAATTAAGGTCGTGGCTGAGGGAAAGGAGAAGCTGAAGGTTCAGCCTGCGGATGGGTCATGGATGAACATCTGGAGCAGCCGCAAGTGAAGCACTCGTAGTTGTGTCAAAGCTGATGCGATAGAGTCAGATTAAGTGCTTGCACCATGCCGGGAATCTCCATGGGCTCCAAAGAACCATCCCACAGTCGAATCATTACGCAGGGGACCACGGTGACTCATCCGATTCCGATTCTTCGCTTTTCTGGGTAGGAGGTGCCTTCAAGATGTGATCTGATGTGATGTGCCGTGCACTTTTGAGGGCTTTGGCGGCGGTGGCGGCGGCGGCCCTGCAATTGGCGGCGGTGGCGGTGCCGCTGCGCCCGCGGCGGAGGCGAAGAAGGAGCCCTCCGCTGCTGCACTAGCTTCGCCTCAGACTCAGCCACTGGTAGTCAACAAATCCGACTTATCCGACTTTCTAGCTCAGAGACAAAGATCATCCGAAGTCGCCCCTCCAACATGTGCTTCTGATCTCGTCCCTGCAGGAAGAGAAGAAGGCGGAATGGTTTTGAGTCGCGGGAGTTAGCAGGTCGAAGGAAGTTTCAGCGCAATTGGAAGAGCGGACGTCCATGAATGGTCCGGCATGTCAAGTGTTGCCTTCGTACCTGCATGGAGGTCGAAGAGGAGGAAGAAGAGGAGGAGACTGCCCGTCACTGCCCTTCGCGCTGTACGCAGAAGCTCAATGCGATTAAGTTGGAGAGGAGATGGACTTCGACCTCTTCGGCTGAACATCGGACACGTCCAACGGGAAGTTCTGCAGAAGCGACAAAATATCCGCTGTAGGTGCGAACAGGCTAGACGGTTAATCTTATATAGAATGCAAACCGGCAGAGCTGCTTGCTCGGAGTATCGTCCTCGACGAGCATAGTTACAGTCGTTAGCAGAGTCCGCGAGTGTGAAATCAAGTGCAGAAGCTACTCCCCAGCACCTGGAAGAATGGCAAGAGCCCTCTTCAGACGACAACTTCCCCACCATCGGCCGCTGATCCAAGCGGAAGCCAGCAACACCCACCTGCCGAAGCCGCGAAGTCGAAGCCAGTCGGTAAGCTGGCGGCGGTTTGAATTGAAATTAGACCGGAATCCTTATTCTGTTTAGCATTATCTTCATTATGTCGTTTTATTAAAATTGGATAGGTCTCAAATTCTTGTTATGTTCTGATATTATAGTGAATCATTCGATAATAAAAAAGATATATGATTTCTATAAATTATATAAGAAAATATCGGATATAATATCATTTAATATATATATATATATATATTCGATATTTTTTCTATTCTAGATAAATATTATATAATATTGAGGCGAATAAAGTGAAATTTTCATTTATGGATATTGTATCGCTACGATATTTATATTCTTATCTTATATTTAAATTAAAATATCTATCTTGATTTTTGATGGAATTATGAATTCGAATCTATAAAATCTATAGTCTTCTACATAATTAAATAGGATTCGATTAGAATAAATATTTATTTAAAGATTTTCTTCTATATTGAATTGTGATAGGGATGGATTCTTGGATATATTAGAGATAATCGATATCTAGATTTGAAGACTCTGAACTTAGCTTGGAATCTATATTGCGCTGAAATCTGATAATAATGAGGATTATTTATAAATTAAGAATTTATAGTTTTGGATTCTATATAAATGAGATATTTATATAATTCGAATAATATTATATAAGATTATTATTTTTAAATTATTATCCGATCGTATATTATTTCGATTATTTATATATAGAATATTAGATAATTGGGTCATATATATATATATATATTAGGCTTTAGATTTAGAGTCTTGTCTTCTTAAGATACTATATATTGATAGATATTTATTATTCTTTTCGAATTAGTTCTTAAATTATAGATTTTTTCGGGAATGGCAACTACTTATCCTTGTCAAAAAATGAGGAAGAATATATTTTTTTTAATAAATGAAATTTGAATTGAGATTTTTATATAATATATTAAATTTCATCGATATATTGCTAGAATATAGGCAATTTATATATTGAAAAAATTACGTTGTTATTCTAGGATCTGGCAATTTTCTTAATAGAATAAGTCGAATAAGAAATATATTTCTAGGTATATTTCTTGGTTGCACTCCCGCTGCCCCTGCTGCTGCCCCTGCCCTGCCTCTGCCCTGACCAGTTCCAAAACCACCATTTTGAGCTTCCCGCGCCTTTAAAAAACGATTTTTTTGTGGTTTTGGCACTCCTGCCCCTGTTGCTGTCCCTGCTGCTGTCCCTGCTGCTGCCCCTGCTGCTGCCCCTGCTACTGCCCCTGCTACTGCCCCTGCCTTGCTTCTGCCCTGACCAGTTCCAAAATCGCCATATTGAGCTTCCCGCGCCTTTAAAAACCTATTTTTTCGTGGTTTGTGCCTTAAAAACCTATTTTTTCGTGGTTTTGGAACTCCTGCCCCTGCTGCTCCTGCTGCTGTCCCTGCTGCTGTCCCTGCTGCTGCCCCTGCTGCTGCCCCTGCTGCTGCCCCTGCTGCTGCCCCTGCTGCTGCCCCTGCCCTGCCTCTGCCCTGACCAGTTCCAAAATTACCATTTTGAGCTTCCCGCGCCTTTAAAAAGCGATTTTTTGGTGGTTTTACAACTCCTGCCCCTGCTTGAACCTAAGCTCCGAAACCCTGATCAATTTATTTCCGAGCGCTTAAAACGGAACGGGGCACTCAGAGACTCGAATAATTTATTATTGCGGCAACCAGAGCCTGATTTCTTATTTAAAAAGATTTCTTAATATAAAGCTCGACCAAATTGAAATATTAGTCGATAAAGAAGAATTTCCCAATAAGATATTATTGAATATTTAGATAAATTAATTGATTTCGAATATAATTCAAAAATATATCTATTTTCTATATTATTAGAAAATTTTCGAAGTGAAAAAGGAGGAATGAATATCTATTCTATATAATCTAAATCGAGTTCAATTCTTCTCTTGAATAATCATCATTAGATAAGGATTGAAATATTTCTATTTCGATATAAGAAAAGCAAATAGAATATCAAAATTGAATCTATTTCTATTAAATTTCTTTCCATAGAAGTCGGGACATTATGGAAATCTATTATTTATATATTTTTTATGATATTATAAATTTTAAAGATATCATTATCTAACCGGTTTCTATAATGGAT